TCAACTCCAGCCGCAGAGCTGCTGGTCCCATCTCCAGCCGCAGATCTGCCGATCTCAACTCCAGCCACAGATCTGCTGATCTCAACTCTAGCCACAGATCTGCAGGTCTCATCGCCAGCTGCAGCCCCCTTGTCTGACTGGCCAACTGTAGCCTCCTCAGTGAACTCGCCGCTGCCTGCAGCTCTCATTGCTGGTTGCCTGCAGCCTCTCCAGTGGTCTCGTCTCTCTTCATTCTGCTGATCTCCTTGGGATCAGCAGACATTGCTGACATGACAACATCAGTTGACAGCTCTGGTCAATGACGAACTGTCGCCGGGTCATCCGCCACAACTCTTTTTGTGTGTGTGGTTTTTCTTTGGGGACGTCAGGTACCATTCCGTGGGGGTGGGGGGGAATGTCTGTGGTTTTCGTGTGCTTTTTTTTGTTGTTGCTGTATTTTTGGTTCTCCTGCAGGGCAGCACGGTGGCGCAGCTGATAGAGCTGCTGCCTCTCAGCGAGCAGGTCCCTGGTTCAAATCCCGGTCCGGGGGCTTTTCTGGGTGGAGTTTGCATGTTCTCTCCGTGCATTCGTGGGTTTTCTCCGGGTACTCTGGTTTCCTCCAACAGACCAAAAACATGCATGTTAGGCTGATTGGTCTTCTCTAAAACTCTAAATTGTCCCTAGGTGTGAGTGAGAGAGAATGATTGTTTGTCTCTTTGTGGTCCTGTGATGGACTGGAGACCTGTCCAGGGTGTCCCCCACCCCTTGCACAGTGATTGCTGGACATGGGCACCGGCAACCCCGTGACCCAAAATGAAAGAAGCAGGTAAAAGATGATGGATGGATGGATGGATGGCTGGCTGGATGGATGGATGATCTCTTGCACTCCCCTGTGTTTTTCCTCCTCGTGTCAACTTCTTTCTCACCTGTGTCTAATTGTTATCACCCCAGGTGTTTCTCATTCTGTGTCATCAGTGTTCTGTATAAAGTCAGCGTCTTGTCATTCCTCATTTGTCCGGCATTGTCCTTCCATGACTACATGTTCTGCTCCTCTGTCATCTCCCTAATAAGTAAGTTTTGCTGCCCTGTCAGCTTTTGTTTTGTTTTTGTAAAAATTAATTTAAGTTACTTATTTTACCTGGGGGTCTCCTATATTTCTGCCTGCACGTGGGTTCAACCCTGACAGCAGAATCATGTTACAGTAACAGAACATCTCAGGCCATTTGAAGCTGACTCCACACTCCAGTTTCTTAATGGGCAGTTTCCCAAAATGGTTGGTGTTAACTAGAGTAGAAATCCAGTTGCTTTTTATTTTATTTGGGCGAGGATGGGGAAGGGATCATCAGTAGCTGGTTACTTATAAATAACCCATTTGCAAAATAACTGTTGAACTATTTAGAAGATGATAAACAGATTTTGTGCCTCCAGAAAAGTTTTGATGTGGGGGTCACTGAAAATCCTGGGGTGACACCAAAACTAAAATCCAGTGCGGAATTTCATTTGTTCATTTGTTTTGTTGCTGTCTCATCTGAGTTATTTAAAAAGCTCGAGTCAGAGAATCACCTTCTGACATACGTGCACAGCTCTACTTTAGTTTTTATTCATTTATAGCTGATAATATGTATATGTGTGGGGGAGCATCAAATTTTAGGGATCACTTCAGCCCCTGCCCAAGGCCCACTGTTTTGTTGTTTTGATCTTTTTTTATTAGATAGTTAACCATTCAAAGCACAGGAAGAAGGGAAGTGTGACTAACAGAGCTGATTATGTGAAAACATGAAAATGAAGAAAACTGGAGGGATGAGATTTTTGTCTGACAGCAACATCACAGATGGTCCATTACATCAATGTTTGTAAAAGACTGGAACCACAGTTTCCTTCGCTTTTGTAGAAAATGTATGAAACTTACATTTTTAGAAAGTCGTACATGCAGCTTCATTTAGTGTAATGAAAGTTGAAGCCGTTTCATGATGTGAACATTTCTGTAAGTTTGGTTTGGAGCCTCCTACACACCTTGTGTCCAACATGTCTGAAGGGTGCAGTCAGCGAAGGTGCATGTGACCTGCACTCACCTCCTCAGTGTCTGATACAGTTTCTAGCTTTGCTCCAGCAGTAGCAGCTGAAATAAAACAACTACGTAGCTTCCAGCTTCTTTCTGCCTCCTGTCAGTATTTTCTGTATTTATACAGCACAGATACACTTGATTTAAAATGCATGAACTTCTCTCTCATCCAGCACTTAGATTGAATGGATATGGAGCTGCTTCAAGCTGTTCTGTGGAGCAATCAGCAGTTTGTCAACTCAAACGGTCCAAGCTCTCTGAAAGCTCTGACTGGGAAACAATTCAGGCTGAATGTGCCTTTGTTTGAGATGAAGGGCACTGCGTCGCCGTCTGGGACTATTAAACCCAGTTTTTGAAACAGTAGAGCTGTGTGGATAAGGACGACTAAAATGGAAAAACACCCCCTCCTCCTCTCGCTGTGGGGGCGGGGGTGGGGAGAATGATATCAATCTTCATGCTGCTCATTGGGACTTAATTACTTTCTGCGTCTTTCCTGCAGAATGCAGTTTTTAGTGTTGATGCATTCACCCTGAGCTTCTGTCTCCTCTGTGTTTGTTGTGGACGTACGTTTGTCTCATCAGCTGCAGTTGTCTCCAGCGAGCAGAACCCCGTCATCATCATAGCGGTGGTGGCCGTGGCGGGGACCATCATTCTGGTCTTCATGGTGTTTGGCTTCATCATCGGGAGAAGGTACGCTCTCGCGGGCCCCATTGACTCTCCGCTCCTGTGAGTTTGTGTTTGTCAATTAGCCTTTCTGTCACTCACAGGCCCCACGTCTGTGGAGTTGATGCACATGCACACACACTTGCACCAATCATCTTGTAGCATGCTGTGCTAATGGCTTGTACTGCACCATCAGGCCCAACTTTCTCATACACTCCCCCCACAAGCAAGATTGTAGCTGTGTCTGCAGAGCACATGAGGCGAGGACTCCACAGAGAGAAGGATTTGGCCTGGATTTCCTCTGTGAGAGGAGTGTGTCAGAGAAGTGTGAAGGAAGAGTGTGTAGAAGTAGTGTGAGAGGGGTGTATAGGAGGAGTGTGTGAGAGTAGTGTATAGGAGGAGTGTGTGAGAGGAGTGTATAGGAGGAGTGTGTGAGAGGAGTGTGTGAGAGGAGTGTATAGGAGGAGTGTGTGAGAGGAGTGA